GTTGGAGCTATATTACAAAAATAGAGGAGATGTTGCTTTGATCAGATATGAGAAGCTTTATTTTAGTTTCTTTTCCATGATAAAAACATAGTCCGGCAAACGGGTTGCTGAGACAGTATTCATTACAGCTGTGGATTTAGCAGAGTACCAGAAACTATCCATTAAAATTCCACCAAAAAAAAAGAAAGTAGATGGGACTTCAGACAGAAAAATACTCATTTACCTCTAAGTGATACTTCTGACTGTGGTTTATAACTGAAATCTTACACAGAAGAGTAAAAAAAAAAAAGCAGCTGAGAAATACCACATTATGCTGAGAGGAAAGCTGAGATTCACCTTTCTGTTTCTTTGCATGAACATGAACTTATACTGGACATAAAAAACACTAGAAGATAAAATCGAAATAAATAAATATATATATATATATATATATTTATGATAATGATGCTTTTTTTGGCCCTGAGACCAATACCTGGCTGTGCAGTATTGGCCAATACCATACCAATACCATCTGGTTCACATTGATGTATGTGTGTATGAAGTACTGCATACTACTTGGATGTAAAATAATTGCCATCATGGCTTTGCCCTATTTGTTGGTACTTGCCAATACCGATATATATATATATATATATATATATATATATATATATATATATATATATATATATATATATATATATCCTTTCACTACGTTCCCAGCTTCATCCCTACCTCTCTTGTGAGGGTCAGCAGCAGAGAAAACAGCAAAGAAACCACTCCCAGCAGTGTTGGCATCAGAAACCATCTGTAGGAGCATCTTGTTGCCTGTGGAAACCAGAGCTCCGGGCTTGAAGGTCCCACAGAAGCGGCCAAGTCTCTGGCCGTTGATGTGACCGCTGTGTACGTCCACGTAGTCATAGCGACAAAGGTTGTCGTTCTCTAGATCCATGGAGCGAAACGACAGTTCGACCACCTTGCCATCAGGTACCTAGGTTTGAAACGTCACAGAGCGTAGAATATCAGTTTGATTATTACTTCATACAATTTCATATCATTCTCATGCACTGGGTGCAACAGACAGCACAGCTTTAAATAGACAGCCCTTGATTTTAAATTTAAACTGTCCAAATAAAGTTCTGCCATGTGGTATTTTAAAATTACCAGCAATCATCCTCCTTTTAACTTTATTAATTTGGTTGCATCATATATTTTCATCTACCAGAAACTATGTAAACCTTTTAAAACGAATTAGAAGAAGACATTAAGTCACTTCTCAAAGCCATAAGGAATTCATACATTCCTAACATCTAAAATTCATACCAACAAATGGGCATTTTATTCAGTATTTTTTTAGCCCAAACTTTCATCCAATTAGAAATGTCGTAAAAGGTCAAGTGAGACATAGACATAGGAGCAGCTTGAAAATGAAATATATTATTTCATTTGAAAAATTGAAATCCCCCTTTTTTTTTTTTTCATGTTTGCTGGTGAAACCATACGTGTGGGATCTCAGGCTGGTACAGAAGTTCACATTCCAACAGGAAAAGAAACACTAAACATACAGTCAGAACCACAAGAAGATGGTTCACAGCAAAGCATATTCACCTATTAGAATGGCCCAATTGAAGTCTAGAGCTAAATTAAATGTAGAATCTTTGGCAGGACTTAAAAACAAATGTTTTTAAACTTTCTGAACTTTAGTCTCAGAAACTTTAAAGTTTCTGAGCAGGCACAGTAATGAAATATTTTTAGAAAGTAGTAATTAGACCTGTCACACCATAGTAGGCTACAACTATTTGGTTGTTGTTAAATCTATTGAACCTTTTTCATTAATCTTCCTAATTTATTGATTTAAACTGTTTGGAGGTAATCAGACTCACTGTGATTCTCCACACACATTTGGTGTTTGGGGGGTAAACTCCTGGGTAACCCTGGCTTCCAATAACTCCAGACTCCCCTGTGATGTTTCCGCCACATGTGAAGATTTGTCTGAAGGTGAAATTTTTCCACATGATGAGAATAACATAATATTAAATTATGAAACAAAACAAACAAACATGCAGTATGGACTTCGATCAGCCTCTATAAAACAGACATCTTCAGTGCGTGAATGTGAGTCCATACTCCTCAGCATACTCCTCTCAAAATCCCTCCTCTGGTCCTCATAACATTATATTCTTTTTTAAGATTGGAAATAAATGAAAAAAGGTTTTACCTCTGCTGAGACTGCGCACAAACTTCTGCCAGGAATAGCAAAGACCATGAGCAAAAGATACTGCATGTCCTCCACATGGCTGGGTAAATGGAGCAGGCGCTGCGCCTGGTTTCGCTCCGTGGCATTGCGCTCAGCAGCTGAAGCAGTGGAGTGAGTGGAGGGGGGCCAAGTGCCCAGGAGTTACTGCAGGGAGTTTGAGCACATGAATATAGGGTTTGTTCTGGGGCTGTAAGAGGGGACGGATCATGAAGGGGGAAAAAAAGAAAAGAAAAAGAAATTAAAAAAGAGAAAGGTGGAGGCGCCTGGAGGGTGTGGGGTCCTGTCATAGATTCATACTCACCTGGTCTGGAAAGAATTAGCAGATGGCATGATTAAACTTGACTGAGATTATTCATGTGTGGTTTGACATTGCTGAATACATAGCTTATCTTATGCGGCATTGGTATGAAAGATGGAAGTCTACAACTTATTTAAATGCAAATAATTAATACATTTCAAATTTTACTGACATAAATTGTAGCATAATTCACAATCTGTCAAACGGACTTAGACTTAGAAAACTTTTGTTGTCATTTTGTATATGACATTTCCGTTTCTTAAAGTGTAGTAGTGACCAAATCTAAACAGTGTAGGTGAAAAAAAAAACATGGTGCAAAAAAGGTATTGATATGGATGTTCAGAGCAAATATTAAGAGCAATGAGAGATCAATTTTCTAAGGACAGATGGAAAACGCCACCTGCTGGAGTTACTATAGCACAGCATGGGTCTTAAAAATCCTTAATAATAATAATAATAATAATAATAATAATAATAATAATAATAATAATAATAATAATAATAATAATAATAATAAATTATCTATAAAAAACATCAACTTTTAGATGAAAAGTTAATAATATCAATTCATCGAAAAATTAATATTGCATAATATTTTGACAGCAGAGTGAGAGACAGTTGTTGCCGGCCTCAAAGGAAATTAAGCCACAGAAGATTACAGAGTGCTGAATCCAAGCATATCAATGGAAAGTTAAGTGGAATGAAAAATGTAGTATAAAAGGGATTCACAAGTTACAGGAAAGAATTAGGAGAAATAATGATATATACAAAAATAAAAAAAAAGTTACAGATAAGGAAAGCTTTATATTTGGTTGGGATGCTTTGTGCAGGTATTAGTTTTTGGTTCAAATATCCAGGATTTCTCTACAATCAGCAGCTCCTTTAGGCAATAACTTTTGTAATGTTTTATGTTTGCAATTAGTATTTGATACCCTGTGCAATAGCCTGTTTCTTCTTATTTTAGACCCAGAACAATAACTATATCTATAAATATAAATATCAATCTATGTAAATACCCATGTAAACACCCTGTGTAATAACCCTGAATAATAATCCTGCTATAAAAAAAATAAAATGTCATATGTGGATGCACTGTATACAGAGGCGTAGCCAGAAAATTTTAATAGTGATGGCCAGTCAAAAACCAATGAAAACGGAAGGTTGGCCGAAAGCGGATAGGCGCCAGAACCTCAGGATCCATCTACACTCTTTCAACAGGAACGAGCACAACATCCATATTTTCTAAATAAAGACTAACTATACTTTCCTACAGCCTTTTGATTACAAATACATGCATATATTTAAACATCCATGCTGTCTAAATAAAAGGTATAGTGGACAAAATGTCTGGGGCAAACATCTTTTCCATTGTCATTACTTATATTACATTACATTAATATGACATGTACTAATATCTACATTGAATTGATTTTTAAGTTACTATTAAAGTAGGTATTTATCTATGATTTCACAGAAAACTCCTTGATGACTTGCAGAGACATAATTTTCTCTTTACCCCATATAACACAAAATTAGGGTCTTAAAAGAGCATGAATTCTGTAAATATCAACTTTAATGTTTGTATTTTGATGTGCATAGTTAACCACAGCATTTAGTTGTCAAGTAAATATTAATATATGCAAAATTTAAATGTTTAATAAGTTTAAACATTCCTCTTGATAGTATTACTGCTGCCACCCTCTGTATTAGAGGGCGTAAAAAAAAAAGGGGTGGCCACAGATTGGCTAAGGGTGGCCATGGCCACCCCTGGCCCCCGATCTAGCTCCGTCCCTGACTGTATATACTGTATATATCTCATGCACCTTTTTCTTCCTTTGGCAAATTCTTCTCCTTTGCGTATTTGAGCTGAGGTAACAGGTAAAGCCTGAGTGCGGAAAGCCTGAGTTTCTTTGAATCAAGACTAAAAACACATTTGTTTAGGATTGCCTTCGACTGTTCTAGTTAAAAAGTTCATCTGAAACATCATTAGTTCAACTTTTTTATTTTCTTTAGTCCAACTGTTTTTAACGTTCTTTATTGTTTCTGCATTTTTTCTTATTTTTTTCCTACTTGCTTTTATTCTGTTTTATTTTCCTATAAATATGTAATATGTAAAGCACTTTGCATTGTCTTTGTACTAATTTGTGGTATACAAATAAATTTGCCTTGCCTTGCCTAAATTTAAAAACCAATAAAGTCAATCAATGAAGGTTTTCATGTTCTATTTTAATGAAAATATGAAGAAAATATTTCCTTTTGTAACTGTAAAACAGAACTCATGCAGATGGCCATACTCATTAAAACAAAAACAAAAAAAGCCGAAAACATTCTGATGTATCAACTGCAGTCTAAAAAAATATCCCCTTTGCTTCCGGGTTTCCAACGTAACAATGGCGGGGCGATCACTGAATCGACGATCGATTGTAAGGGCCTGGGATTCCAATTCTTAGCTGCTGTCGGTGATCGATTGTTTTCAGTGGCACAGAAAGATGGCGGACCGAACGCCTGGCTCTCAAAAAGCTAGCGCTAAGGTGAAATTTACCGTTTGCTCTCGTTTTAGCTAAGCTGTTTCCAAATGTAGCGAAAGCTATGTAATTGTTTTGCATCTTCATAAAACATTTGATGTTAACTAGACGGCTTCTATTAGAGCAACGCTTATTTACCTAACAGTGACATCCCGCTCTAGCGCAACTTATCCATTTTAGCTTAGCTATGCTAACGATAATGCTAATGCACCCCTGGACTAAGTCGGCGTAGTTATCTTAAAAACATCTAAAGGTAGATGTAATGACGTTAATAAAGAGTGGGTAACAAACCCGTGTTAATATTAAAACAATAAGCCGAACATATTTTCTCTCTGAAAACGAGTGTTTGTGTAGCATTAGCAGCTCAGCGTGCTGTATTCAGACAGTCCCGCTGCCGTTTATATAGCGACATGTTAGGCCGCTGGTTAATTTGTTACAGTCTTCATTCTGTAACATAGAATAATGTGTACAGTAAACTATTTTCACACAATGTCAATCAGATATTTATATAACGTTGTTATATATATATAGTATTATTTGTTATGTACAATTTAGCTGCCAGAGGATCTGTCACTTAGCCTGAATACTCGAATATGTTGCTAACAAAGTGTCATTCTGGATGCTTGTATTCCTTAAATTGAAACACAAAGTGTCATTCTGGATGCTTGTATTCCTTAAATTGAACCTTTCTTTGTTTACATTCACCAGGCGCTGCTTGAGAGCAAGCTCAAATCTTTCAGCATTGGAAAGATGGCTGTGGCTAAAAGGACTCTAAGCAAAAAGGAGCAAGATGAAATAAAGAAAAAAGTAAGACTTATCTTTTCTAAAACCATTTCTGGTTGGATCATAAATTGATCTGTTATGCTTCATATCTGCTTATTTGTTGGTTTTTCTTCCTGTTTAGGAAGATGAGCGGGCGGCAGCAGAGATTTATGAGGAGTTTCTTGCTGCTTTTGAAGGAGGAGGAGAGGGCAAGGTCAAAGCATTTGTCCGAGGCGGTATTGCAAATGCATCAAAAGGTACATAATATGGGCTGCTACAATTGATGTGATTAAAAGCACTGATCATCATTGCCATTAAGGTTTTGTGCTGTTCAAAGTTGCATCATAGTTATTGTACACTTTTTAAGCTTTGTTATCACCTAACTAGGGCTGTAAATGATGATTATTAGCTGATCGCACTGATGAGCATAAAATAAGCTTAAAGTCATTAACATTTTGTATGTATTTTTAGAAGCTGCTTAACACTAATGATATTAATTATAGCAGATTTTTTTTAATTGCCATACTTTTTTATTTTACAGAGGAAGCAGCTTCTGATGACAAAAAGGGAAAATTATACAAACCCAAATCCCGCTTTGATACCCAGCCAAAAAGTATCCTGCCTTTGGAAACCCCCTCACAGTTTTTAACAACAGACAAAAGAAATGTAAGTGCTTTCAACCGATTGCGTCCCTTTTTTGTGCTTTAAAATGCTGTATTTTTAAGTTGGTGGTAGTAATAAATTTCTGTTATTTTCAGACTTTAAAGAAGAGTGGAGAAAAGGAGAAGAAGAAAAGTAACTTGGAGCTTTTTAAAGAAGAACTTAAACAGTACGAATCATCATAAGTCAAGATTAACTTTCCATTGCTGTTATTGCTTGCTAATAAAATGGCTAACGTTTTCCCATCACGTGCCGCTCCTTTTAGGATCCAAGAAGAGCGAGATGAAAGACACAGGATGAAAGGACGTGTCAGTCGCTTCGAACCTCTGCCTGGATCAGAGGGCAGACGCTCATGTGAGTGAATTTAAGCTGTCTGAATGTTTTCTCTGGTCTAAATTGGCCTGAAACGGCTCCATCCAGCAGCTTTACCCCAGATTTACACTGCTTGCGTTTCCAGTCTGCTCTACACATCACGCCATACGTTCCAATCCTAATGTGCATCAGAAGCACTTACTTGTTTCTACATGTAAAGGCTCCAAGAAGGATGCCATGTCTGATCAATGTCTGACTAAAACAATGAGATTAAGGGCAAAAGATAACAAAACTGCTTTCGTTTTCTTTTCTTTAATAGTTTTTTTTGTTCATGTTTGTTTTTCAATGGACTAGAAAACTAAGTACAGAGGATCTTTATTAAGTAGTTATTTTGGGCTTTGAATGTGTATACATGTAATGATAAATGGTTAACCCAGAGAGGACAGATATATAAATATAAGCATCTTTTTATAATGATAGTGAGGTGTTCAGAAAGTTACTTATTTTTTGGTCTGGTTTCCTGTTAAGAAAAAAAAGTGGAAGTGTTTTGAATTTTGATAGGTTGTCGTACACACACACATCCAGCGCGCTGTGGCAGTTTAATCCTCTCGTCGTATTGTACCAGAGCGGAGACGGATGCAGTGTAAATTAGGGGCTTCCGACTCACCCGCATCCCTTTGTGCCTCTTTTACCCTGAAACAAAATTTATACTGCTTTTCTGCTTCTTTTAGCGGATGGTTCTTCAAGAAGAAACCGTCCGTCCAGTGGTAATTTTGACTTAATACTGTGAATGTGAATATCTCCAACTTGCCAAGAAGGACGAGTTGATCTATCGGACTGCAACAGGAAATTCTTTTCTCGTTTCTGTGTCCGCAGTTCTGGATGACTGTGCGCCAGGCTCCCATGATGTAGGCGATCCATCTACTACCAACCTGTATCTCGGAAACATTAATCCACAAGTATGATTTATTTATTTTAATCTAGACTCAAAAAAAGGCTAATAGTACTCTAAGAGGCTAAATATAATGGATTTTCTTTTAGAATAGATGAAAATGTCTTTATATATATTCAAATGCTGCTTCTTATTCTTTATGAAATAATTTACATTCATTACCCTTTCACATTTTTCATGCTTCAAACTTAACATGGGATTTCTGTTTTATAGATCAACTGCAAGTTGCTCAGAATCTAAGTGGAACAATAATAATTCATGGTTTTTCACATTTTTACTAAATCTGAAATGTGTTCTGTGCATTTATTTAATGCAATATACAAACTACCAACTGTTGCTCCTTCATATTTCTGACTCAGCTCAAACTTGGACAAATTCATCAAGTATTTACTGAGACTAATTTAGAAATCTGGAAATCAAAGCTATATCTTTCTAAATATTATTTAGGTAATTCTTTACTTTTTGGTCATTTGATTCCTATAAAACAAATTCAAAGTTCTATCCCCAATATAGGGCCTGGCAGAGGATAAGGTATATAATTTACAAATGTTTATATCTGTCCCTGCAGTTTTCATCAATATGTTCTACTTGAATTATTACAGATGAACGAAGAGATGTTGTGCCAAGAATTTGGGCGCTATGGCCCCCTGGCCAGCGTGAAAATCATGTGGCCAAGGACAGATGAGGAAAGGGCTCGGGAGAGGAACTGTGGCTTTGTGGCCTTTATGAACAGGAGGGATGCTGAGCGTGCTCTCAAGAACCTAAATGGTACTTCCTATAATTCCTTTTTTATACTAACCTCACAAATTGCTTATATTGAGTTTCACTCTTATTGGGTATTCTCTTCTTGTATCTTTATAGGGAAAATGATCATGAACTTTGAAATGAAATTGGGGTGGGGCAAAGGTGTGCCCATTCCACCCCATCCTATATATATCCCTCCCTCCATGATGGAGCATACCCTCCCACCACCTCCCTCAGGCCTACCCTTCAACGCACAGCCCAGAGAGCGGCTAAAGAACCCCAATGCTCCAATGATTCCTCCGCCCAAAAACAAGGAGGAGTTCGAGAAGGTAACTCAGAATGTTAGCCTGAGCTTTCATGGCGTTTGCCTGTGTGTTAATTGTGCTGGTATATGATTTTAGCCTTTGTAGTTAACAGTCAGCATAGATTTATTCTTAGTTTCTTTGATAGTTTTTTTTTCTTGTTAAATATGATTCACAGTAGGAAAAGTTTGGATATATTCAGTTAGCCTGTGTTAGAGTTAAGTGCTTATGGCTAATGTGGTAACGTATCATGGGTTTTTTGGCATTTAGTGAAGGGAATTTTGTTCTCTGTGAAGTTTGAAATGCATTTTTTATATTTTTCACCTGTTGCCTATTTAACAATACTCACATTCTATTGTTTATTATCTGATGTGACTTCATATACAGACTCTGTCGCAAGCCATAGTCAAAGTGGTTATCCCAACAGAAAGGTACATGTTTTTTCTTTTTTCAAATTGGTGTACAAACGTAGAAAAAGAAAATCACATCCCATTTTGAAGCTAAAAGTTTGATCGATTGATCACTGCATGCTACAGGGGGCTGTTCAGTGTGGATGAGCAATGGTCGAGACAAATACCCACTGTTTTCTTGCTTGCACATCATGTAATATTGACATTTTTTATTCTACTCCTTCATTTTCCACCGTAGTTCATGGTTTCATTTTAAAAAGATTAATTTAGATTTTTAAAGAGGTTCTGTTAATGTATCATGAGTAATAGTTTCCTTACCTTTAGTGGAGAAATGTCACGTTTCAGTGGGTTTTTTTTTTTTAAAGTGTCTTAATCCCCAGAGAACACTAAGTCATAAACTGAGTCTCTGCTACTATTTTATTCTAGGAATGTTAACCAATCATAAAATGATGTGTTCATGGATATCATTTCCAAACAACTAAAACCGCTGGATCAACACCATTGCACAAATATGCTCTGAAAAACCCAAAAGTTTAGTCAGCTATGTCATACCAACGAGTTACTGTAGAAGAATCATATTGACACAAATGGCACCTCCTTGTTTATCGTAAAATCTAACAGTGTTCTTTAAACGTATAGATGAGTTGTCACATCACATGACCTTTAAAAAAATATGGATCGCAATTTCTATGTAGCACAGAGACTGAGAAATTTTTGTATTAGAAATACTTCAGCTTTCATTTGGCTGATTCTGATCAGCCACCATTTAAATAGTTGTTAAAAGCCTGAGTAAGCATTTATAAACCAGGTTTTTCTTCCTTCCTTTGCTCTGATTCTTGCCTTAAAAAACCTTGCGATACAGTGAAATCTTTCTGCTTCAGGGAAGGGGACTATAACTGGTAGAGCATCCCAAAACCTCACCGTAGCAAACACCCTCATTCTTCAACATTATGAACAGCTGAATGTTTTCTCTAGATTAGTGATGATAAAGTCTACCACATTAATGATCTGCTGATTCTAGATCTATAGTTTGGGAAGCTATCTCTAGCTATTGCTCACTCAGACCGTCTCCCCCCTTGGCCTCTGTCTCTCGATGGGCGAGCTCAGTAAATCTGGCCCCCTGCCAACAAAGCCAAACCCACTACAGAATTAGCCTCTGAATGAACTTTGACATTGGCCTTGGTGAGCAGCACAAGTTGAACTGTCTGCAGCAGCGAGGGACCTGAAAGGCATCATGGGATGGATTGGGAAAGTATACAGAATTTTACCCCGGCATTGGTACGATCGGCTCCAATACACATGAATGTTATCTGTGTTGTCAAATGAAAGACATCCGTTTGTCTTGTTGGCAGCTTCAGGCTTATTGTTTACAAGCCACAAGACACATTTCCCTTAAAGTCAACACAAGTAGTGAGATAACCCCCACCCTTTTTTCACCATATTCAGTCAGTACTAAGTCCACCAGTTGATAAGTCAAGAACCCTGTTGTTGCTTTTGCTTTGTTTTTTTTTTCTAAGTTCAAATTAGTCTGGAATTGTGTGGGATTTACGGCTACCTCCTTCCCAGATATATTCAGCTCCACTTTTGTTGCTTAGTTCTGAAATACATCTAAGTGGGGTTATTGTTATGTTTCTCATAGTGTAATCTTATTTAAATCAGTGCCTCTTTAGCTTAAAAAAAAAAAAAAAACAGGTATCTAAATATTTCAGGCTTTCTGCAGGGTCTCCTGGTTTTAAATGTATTAAGCTCAGTCAAAAGCTTTAAAAAAAAAAAAATCCCAAATATGTCTTAAAATCTTACGATGGGGCTATAAATATATCAGTCACATCAGAAATTCCTCCATGTAATTGAATTCAGAGCTGAATAACATCAACTGAAGTTAACAGAAATGTTTAATTCAGGCAAACAAAGAATCCTTGAAAAAGCCAATTAAGATAACTTGCGTAATTTATTGGGAATTCATTAAGATCTCGAATAAAACTTGCAGAAACCCTGTAAATATAAGTACTTTTTCTACGGTTATAGAAAAGATGAAAGGGAAGTTAAATTTATGATGGTTTTTGTGTCAAACTGTTTATTTTTTAGATTCTTTTAATGTTATTACAAGAATGTAGTTAAAATGATTCTCAACATTTTATTGGTGATTTGATGCCCTCTTGCAGTTTTTCTCATGACACTTCACAAAAAAAATCCTCTTTATCTTATTAGATCATAATAACCACATTCAAAAAGGATCCTTTTGGGCTTACTTGCGCTTTTTGGTGCGTCTTTTTTTACGTGATGTTAGAGATAACTGTCATGGGTGTCAAACCACCAAGTGTAATTTGGGCTTTAGTAAGGCAGGCTGGAAGTAGTGTTCAAGACATCCTGTCCAGTTGAATCAGTTTGCTTTAACTGTGTCTTTCTTGTAGGAATTTGCTCTCTCTCATCCACCGCATGATCGAATTTGTGGTGCGTGAAGGCCCAATGTTTGAAGCCATGATCATGAACAGAGAAATTAACAATCCAATGTACAGGTCAGTTAAAATACACAACAGATGTGTTCCAGGCTTACGCTTCCTACCAATAAAAAGTTCTAATGGTTGTTTTCTTTCAGGTTTTTATTCGACAACCAGAGCCCAGCACATGTATATTATCGTTGGAAGCTCTACACCATTCTACAGGTTTGTTCTACAGAAAAAAACAACACCTTTGTGATCACATTCCATTGGATCGTTTCTACTTCTTCATTTTAAAATGCAACGGTTCATATTTCAGGGTGAATCTCCAGCCAAATGGCGAACAGAGGACTTTCGAATGTTTAAAAACGGCTCCTTATGGCGTCCACCGCCTCTTAATCCATACCTTCACGGTCCTTATGATGAGGGTGATGAAGAGGAGGAAGAAGAGGAGGCTAACAAGAAAGGCTCCCTTAAAGAAGAGTAGGATTATGAATTTTTAAATGTTTAAAAAAAAAATTTAATCAGAGTGATAAGGGTTGGAATTTCTTTCTAATCTGGGATCATTAAGGTCAGTTTTAAATCTATAAAAAATTTCAAAAGAAAACCCAAAAACATTTTCATAAAGCAAAAAGATGAATACAAAAAAATATATAAAAACCAACATAGAATTTACATAAACCAGCATTAAAGACCTGATGGGTTTTAATCTGAATTGTTATTAAAGCAGTTATAAATGTTAATTTAAGATGGGGATAAAAACTGAATTTACTCTACATTGGTTCTTTTAAAAGGCAGGTTATTCCTCAGTTTAGACATTGCTGTCTCTATGCCTTATATTTCATTTTAAACGGCTGAATAGTATTTGGTTTGACGGATCAGTCGGCATTATTAAATGGTGCTGTTGAGCAGGTTGGGAACAAGTGGAGTCACCACCCATGTGTTGACTCAAGTCAGTTTTCATTCTAAAAAAAAAAAAGATATTTAAAAATACCAAACAAAAATAAATATAAGGAATCAAATATTAGGTTCACCCTCATTAGCCACTGCCTTGACTAAATCCACTGCTGTGATTTCTTTTTTCATGCACCCATGGAATATTGATGAAAATAGCAATTAATTGGGGAGTAATGAGTTTTCTTGTCCAGTCTTCATGTGTTTTGTTCATCTAGAAAAAAGATTCTGATTCTGATTGCATTCTCTACATAAAGTTAGGTTTGTTCTTAGTGCAGGTTAACCTCCATCAAGGCTACCCCAGTTTTTCAGTCCTGTTCCTGGTGTCCCTAACAGGACCTCAGAGTGTAGCCATGTGAAAGATGGTGTCTGATTGATTGACATTTGTTCCGTTATTCTACAATACAATAATCTTAAGAAATTACTCTATACTCACCTTGCTGTAGGTTGCAACTCTGGGTCCATTTGTTTATAAAGAATTGAACGTTTTAATGACGAATAAAAACTGAAACCTGGGAAAATATGGTTTAATACAAATTTATCTGAAATTTAACTTGACTCATAGAGATTAGCACGATTTTTATCCTTTTAATTCAGCAAAGATTTCAAAGAATAACTCTCTATAATAAGCAATTACAACCCTGACATGGCTTACCAACAGCTGCTCCATATCACACAGGAGAGCCTGGAGCACAGTATCTGCTCATTTAGATTAAAAGTCCTCTTAGTTGATACCCCCTAAGATTTTATTGGTAAATATCAGTGGGGGAGATTGCTATAGAATATCTACAGCTCCCTGGAGGAACTATAGATATGCTGGTATAAAGCAGAGTGACAAACTATAGTCCTTAGGTGCCGTAATGAACCATTTGTTTAATTCAGGCCTATTTAATCAGGAACACTTGTAATAAATGCATGACTTGAATAGGTCGCTTGTAGTGTATAGTCTTATCAGCTTTAATCTTCTATGCTGCGTGCAGGGAGCGAGACAAACTGGAGGAGATGCTTCGTGGTTTGTCTCCGAGGAGAGGAGACATTGCAGAGGCTATGCTGTTTTGTCTGAACCACGCTGAAGCTGCTGAGGAGATTGTGGAGTGCATCGCAGAGTCCCTCTCCATTCTAAAGACTCCTCTACCAAAGAAGGCATGTCCAAAACGTACTGTTACACTTCTCCAAACATCCCTCACCAAGCTCTAACCCACAGGCGGCTTTTTATTGTTTCAGATTGCACGGTTATATCTCGTTTCTGATGTGCTGTACAACTCTTCTGCCAAAGTATCCAATGCTTCTTACTACAGAAAATAGTATGTTTTTAGGTTTTTTTTCAGTTTGATTAGACTTTCTGGTCTGGGTGTTTTTAATAAATCGCAATCTGATTTTCTTCCCACTAGTTTTGAGACAAAGCTTTCCCAGATTTTCGCTGATCTTAATGCCACATATAAGACGATACAAGGACACCTGCAGAGCGAAAACTTTAAGGTACCAGCAGGAGTTTGACAAACGTCTCCAACAACACGGTTTACTTCGCTAGGGTCTCGTATCACTCAGGTCTAAATGTTTCCTTTTTCTTTCCTTGTTGTTATAGCAACGAGTAATGGCATGTTTCCGGGCGTGGGAGGATTGGGCCGTGTACCCTGATCCATTCCTCATTAAGTTGCAGAACATCTTTCTGGGTCTTGTTAATCTCTCTTCAGAAAAGGAGATTCCTATAGTTGTTGAGGTAAAACATACAAAGTGACTTCTAAGTTTTTTTTTTTTTTTTTTTACTTTACCTTACCTTAATCCTTATTTGGGTTCTAGCTTTAGTTTCTTTTCATTGTTCTGTTTTAGCCTGAACCTGCAGACGACCTTGATGGGGCTCCTCTGGGCGAGTTCGTGGATGGAGCTCCTCTGGAGGATGTGGATGGGGTTCCTATTGACGCAATACCTCTTGATGGGGCACCGATTGATGGAGCCCCTCTGGATGATTTAGATGGAGTTCCTATTAAGTCAGTCGATGATGACATTGATGGAATACCTCGTAAGTACACCAGGGACCGGCGCAGATATCAATACATTTGTCATTGGATCTCCAACTAAAGCCGTTTCCTAATACCTGCTAATGTTCCCCCTCATCAAGTGTAGCAATGTTTTTCTGACTTTGGTATGAGCCAAAAGCATGTAAGGTTTGGCTCAGCTCTGGGAACCACAGACCGCTCTCTGTGCAGAATGGCGAGCTGTGGAGTCGGCAGCTGATAAACCTGTCATTAAAAGTTATGAAGTGCAAAATAAAGCGCTACGTTTATGCAGCAGGATAGAAACTGTTTTTTTTTCTTCCTAAACAAACTCCTCAATAAAAAGCTGCACTTCTTCTACATTGTATTCACAATTGTCTGAAATGAAAAGGTATTTGTTGACTTTGAGCAATTGCGACAAAGAAAAAAAATCTGTGAAGGTAAAAACTGTTTTATAAGATTTTATGAATTTATAGTACTTCTGAAACATTCTAATCCTTATCGACTTGGATTAGCACTGGGGAAACACTAATCAGGGATTCCCTTGTTTTAAGGAACTGTTAATAATGGATTGTTTCAGATAAATATTTGCTGTCTAATAACTTGTGTTCTGTTCAACAGTGGATCAGTCAGCAGGTGCAACTTTCAAGGTTGCGCCCTCAAAATGGGAGGCAGTGGACGAGGCAGAGCTGCAGGCTCAAGGTAACCCTGGAAAGAGTTAAACTGTTAATCATAGATTTATTTTCTTCTCTTGGTAATAAGACTGTTTGTTTATTCCTCAGCTGTAACGACCTCAAAATGGGAGATATTTGAGCAACCGGAAGAGGCAAAGAGGTGAGTATCCTTTTTTCCCTGCATTTGCTCACAGTGAACTATGAATCTGCAGTATTTTTTACTCTTTTTATTTCTATAGGGGTGAAGCCAACAGTGATGATGAAGAGCGGAGCTCAGAGGAAAATCAGAGCTACTCCAACCCCTTTAGAGACGACTCCGAAAACAAGGCCAAGATGTCCGAGATGAATGAGGAGAAACGCACTAAGCTCAGAGAGATTGAGGTTTTTGGGATTTTACTAGTTGCACATATAGTTCTACTTAACATACAGTAAACATAGTGATAGCTGTCTTTAGGGCTGCAACTAACGATTATTTTAAAAATCGATGAATCGGACAAAAATTATTTTTTATATTAACCTCTTTATTCCAAAATAAACATTTTAAACAGAACAAACAAGCACACAAGTACAGGTTGCTCATTAACTGTACTGGTGCAATATGAAAAATAAATGTTTGTGTTAAAACTACGCAAACTTACATGAGAAATGTAGCTGTACATCCACAAAATATAGGCTACTTTGTTTCATAAAGCGCAAAAAAAGACATTTTTGTTTTTAAAAGCCCCTAAGGGGTTCAAACAATAGGCCCCCCCATTTCATCAAATGAGTTTTTTTAGACTAGAAGAGTTCTGCCTTTTAAGACAGGAAAGTATAGCAGTTAAAGTTGCTACTTGAGAAAATACTGAACCATAGAGATAAAAATAGCCCTGTGATTCAAATTATAAATTGTATTTGGAATAAAAATGAGAGAACTAGGGGTGTTAAAAAACACATCCTCCAAAGACAGATATTTACATGGGAATGTGGCAAATATAATTAATTGACATATTACTGATCTTGCTGGATTTTATTCTGCTTTACTTCCATAAATTGCAGGATCTTCTTTACTTTATCTTTGCCAGAAGATTTAAACTTTAAACGCCTTGCCCTCATAATTTGCAAGTTAATTTATTTATAAAGAAAATATAAACGCTGCTTAAGCTAATTCAAATGAAATTAAAAGTAAAATAAGTAGCCAACCTTATCCCTGTCTGTAACCTACTAACACGGTAAGGAAAGCATCAGATGAGCTACCTGAGAAACTAACGTAACGTTTCCCCACTTTAAAACCAAACATACATGGTGGTTCCGTGCCATGTTAATTTCTTTTGAAAAAAGTTGCATGTTATCACTTTTTTCGCTTTACAAAGCGCAGGCTATTTTAATTATTGTGAGCCATTTGCGCCGTCAATCCCGGTGCATGCGCGCTTCATTTGCAGTCTGGACGCTGAGGCTCTGACTGCAGCTCTGAGAGGGACTCCTGCGGGAAAACGCGGTTGGGGTGGGGGAGGCGCCCCACGGCAGAGTAGGAACGATACATGCTTTCACGTAAGAGTCCCAAAAGCCGCCAGTGACACCGAAAAAAGTCGCCAGATTTGTCGCTAGTCGCCTTTTTGAAAAATAGTCGCTGGAGGGGTCTGAAAAGTCGCTGAGTAGGCAACACTGCACCTGCGGCGCTGACTCGCTCTGCCATATTTTTTTTTCTTCCTCTTTCAGTCAAGAGGCAGTGATGACGGCGCGGCAGATGACGCAATAATCGCGCGACACAACTAATCGATGATGAAATTCGTTGCCAACGCTTTTAAAAGTCGATTTTTATCGATTTTATCGATTCGTTGTTGCAGCCCTAGCTGTCTTATTAATGATCGCCTTTAAATGATCTTATATGGATCAGCGGTCTTCAGCCTGGGGATTGAGGAGATTCTGCAGGGGCGGTTATAACTTTATGACTTGTATCACAAACGGTTCAGACAAAAAATTTATATCTGCTATAGCACTTAAATTCGAAGAAAAAAATCATTCTGTTTGCATTAAGACCTGAACCGTGGAGTTATTCTTGATTATTTTGACGGTTTTCAAGCAAAAATTAGCTCAGAAACAATCTGGACTTATTTACAGAATGTTATAAACATCTATAAGTCAGCCTGTTTTCCAATCACATTATGCAGCAGTATGTGTTGTAAACTTAAGTGGCCTTTGTTTTGCATTGTTTTCTGCCCGGCTCCTGTTTTTTCGTTCTGTGCCATCTGCTTTTATTTTGTTAGTTTTTGGTAGATGATTTTGTCTTGTCAGGAGCTTTTTGGTCTGATTATTATTCAGGATTTTTAAAGGCTTGTTTTTATTCTCCAAGTTTGTTTGCTATTCTAGTAAACAGCCAAACTACAGCATTGGTTTGTAACTTGACATGTTAAATACTTCTAATGGCGAAGCTGCAAAATGAGCCTTGTTAAGACTGACTAATCATTCACAGCTACATTAGCGTTGAACATTGGACATTTTAGGCCCTATATCCAACCATATATCAGAGTAGTCTGAAAAGGACATCAGCAAAGAAACTTTAATAAGTTGATGTATCTTTGGAGGGTTTGAGGATCTTTCAAGCAAAAAAACAGCAGGTCATGAATTTGACCTCAGAGACAATTGAGTGTTTGAACAGGAAGACGACCTTTCACACAATATGGTTAAAAATGGAGTAAGGTTAAGAAGGTTTAATGGAAGTAACTTTAAACCAGAAACCTTGCCAAGAAGCCAACCAGATTGAAAGATTAAATTATTTAAGAAAAGCTGCCAAATATTTTACTTTGCACCTTCCACACTTAACCAGATAGTATTTGCATTTTCTCATCATTCCAGTGCGGAAATTGGTTGGCTCTGACCAAATCCAGTGTTTTTATATCACCAAGGAGCAAAACCGAATCATATTGCAACTTTTACCAACGCTGTTTTTTGTGTTTAAAACTCAGGTTAAAGTCATGAAGTTCCAAGATGAGCTGGAGTCTGGGAAAAGACCCAAGAAGCCTGGCCAGAGTATTCAGGAGCAGGTGGAGCACTACAGGGACAAGCTGCTACAAAAGGTGGGGAATTGGGTCAATTATCGCAGACGGGATCTGATACAACACTGATGAACGATAGCCTGACTCCTTTGGGTTTATCTTTTGAAAAGGAAAAAGAAAAAGAAAAACTGGAGCGTGAGAAAGAGAGGGAGAAAAAAGAAAAGGAGAAAGCAGAGGCACGGATAAAAGAGCTGAAAAAGGAAAAGGAGAAGGATGACACACCAACAAGGAAAGAAAGGTGATATAGGCGTGTGTGTGCAGAGTCAGGTTTAGAGAGATTCAGCTCGTCTAACACGCAGTCTTTCCTCCCTGACAGAAAGCGGCATCACAGCGGGTCTCCCAGTCCATCAAGGAGCAGCAGCAGACGGGGCCGCTCTTCTTCACCGCGCTCAGAGAGATCTGAACGCTCTGACCGATCATATTCTAAAGACACGTCATCCCGCTCATCACATAAAGATTCCCCTCGGTCCAGCAACAAAAAATCCTCCAAGAGGTAAGATGTCCTGTGTGTACTGGTATAAGCACAGCTCATTTCCCACAGATACTAATATTGACCAGAGATAATCTCAGCATGAATCATACAAACTTTTATCGCTTATTTTGTATTCTGGCATTTTAGAATAGAACTGATCCAATGTTACTACTCCAACAGTAATCAATAGATATGAAAACAACTGAATCTTCATAAGACCTATTACAATAAACTAATTTTGGTTGAAACTGTGAATAAGCATAAACAAAGGCAACCAATGCTTTTCAAAGCTGCCAATAACATCTGCTCTGAATTGAAGCCCTGTTTCGGTGTCAGACATTGGTGCATTCATGAAATACATGGTATTCATTAGGATTGAACATTATGGTGAAATATTAAAGCTGCAACCTAAGACACTGACCAAAAGGAACATTTTATAATGGATATCAAGAAGCTTTGATTGAAGTCCTAAAGACAAAGGTGGACAACGATGAAAAGATGATGTTCAGATCTGACAGGAGGAATGGGCCAATATGTTAGGAAACTAGTGAGAAACTTTTGGAAGAGTACCCATTTCATACTAATAGGCGTTTTTACCAAATGCTGAGGAAATGCGTGTGAATTTTTGTAGAAAAAAACTCCTTCCTTCTGTTTATATAAATATGAAAATGGGAGCTTTTGTCTAATTTAATGTCAGAGGATGAGAAAAATGTTTGTGTGGTGGACTTATAAACTGAGCTGTTTTAGGAAATCTAAATCTGCTGTATGACTTCATCCACCAGATCGCCGTCGTCTCCTCGCACACCGAAACGATCGAGGCGGTCACGTTCCAGAACACCCAAGAAATCCACCAAGAAGTCCCGCTCAAAATCTAGATCTCCGCACCGATCTCACAAGAAATCCAAGAAGAGCAAACACTGACGTCTTTAGTTTTTGTTGTAAACCAGCCCCTCTCATTAACATCTCTGCGCCACATGATCTGAAGGTGAACTGATACGGCAGCGGAAGATCTGAGATGCCTGAAGGACAACAAGGCGTGAGGGCATTGCATGGGTGACAGATTGGGCCCACTGCTGTTTTATATTGTAAAGATAAAAAAGGTATTTGTGTGTCCTAATTTCTTCGCCTTCCAATGGAAATCATCCATGTGGTAGAACACACCTGTGTAGTGTGTGAGGAAAAAGTCTTACGTTCATGCTGTCAGCTTCTGTTTTTGTAGTTCACATTAAAAAGAATTCCTAATAAACAAGTGTCTTTTTAAAATATCTGATGCAATGACTGATAAAGACAATTTTTATTTTTGTACTGTTTATTTTGCTTTCACATTTTCATTGGGAGAGTACCGATATCCTGGTTGCCTCTAAGTTTGATCATCACTTTATTCATCCATCTATATTCCTAGCAATTCAGTAATTAAACACCTCAATAGATTCCACTTATCTTAAAGGTATAGTGGACGATTATCACAAATTTTTGAAAAAACCCACCCTCTCCTGAGGAAAAAAAAAAAAAAAAGCACAGCCCTGTACCCGCTCCTAAGAGGGAGCGCCCATTATACTTGTGCAAGAGCACGCACAAGCCCATTTCTACTCATGCATGCTGTGTTTAAAAGTTGCTGTTTGTTTCATACAAGCTTACTTTCCAAAAGAAGATTTGCAATTTTCCACTATATCAGACTCACCACCGGTAAGTTAAAATGACAATGAGCATGTAGGACGGTCTTACGTACACATATCACCAGAATGATTGACAATTAGGAGGACCACTTATTTTTATTATCCAGAAAAAAAAAAAAAAAAACATCCTCCACAATACCTCTAAAGGAAAAATCACCCAGAAATCTCATTTTATTTTTCTCTACAATACTGCCTCAATTAGACAACCATTTATTACTTTAACATTTGAAATATTGATTCAAAATAATAGAAACTTTTTTTCTATTAGCATTTTGGATAATGTACTTGATCCCGTATATTTAGGAATAATAAGATTTAGTTAATAGACATTTAAGTTGAAGATTAAAGCTTTTACAGTCTGGCCTTTGCCTGCTTAAACTGATCCTTCAGCTCTAATGCTGCAATGGTGGAAAGGTGCACCTCATCCGGTCCGTCTGCGATTCGCAGAGTCCGTGCATAGGCGTACCTAAGAAACAAACGAAAGGCTAGAATCAGAATTAAAAGAATGAGAAATAAAAATCCACCTGAGAATTAAAATATGGACCAAAAGTTACTTTATTTCATTCCTTACAGCTCCTTGGCCCAAAAGGATTCTCACTTTCTCACTGACTTTTTAAAAACAAATTAACACACCCTGTCATTTCACCTTATCTTCCTTGTCTGGATCATGTAGATCAGTGTTTCCTAACATTTTTTGACTTGGACATTTAGTCTTACTCTGAGTCCCTCTCAGTCAAAAGTATTGATGGTTGTCCAAAAGTGGAACGTACAATAACTGATTATGAAATGAAAACTATTTTCCTCAATCTTATAGCTTGAGCATTTAATTCTTAGGCATTTTATGCCTTCTATCTAAAAAAAAACAAAAACAAATGTTGCCTAGAAGCTAGTAAGGAATTGGAAATAAATACAAATTAAAATATTATAAACCTGTATTTATTTATAACACTGGAGCTCCTCTGACTAACTCTCTTATAATCACATTTAAACTTATTTGGGAACAAAATACAGATTAAAAAAAATTATAGTCAGACTGACTTAATTCGTTTTACTTCATCCAGACACCTGAGCTGCTTTGATGAGCTCCGATAGCTCGGTGTGAAAAACAGTGGATACCAGGCTGTTTTCTACATCCAGTCTGTTCCTCTGCTCGGTTATGATGCGTCTCATAGCTGAAGGTGAACTCAAACATATAAGAAAAACTTTTTGGTTGATAAAGGCTTGTTTAATTTTTCAGTGGGGTCCTCAGAAAGCAAAACAGATCCTAGTCCTATTTTATTCTCCAAGAAATTAAATATTCTCATGAACCCCTTGCAATGCACTCGCAGACCACTAACGGCACGAGTTGTTCCCCTGGTTGGGAAACACTGATGTAGCTCTTAGTTGATTTCTTTTGCAATGACCCTTGATGACCTTGGGCAGCCAGCCAAGGTTATCTGCATGACTATAGTGAGCAGTGATCATTTAGGATGAAACATACCTAATTTAAAAAATGTTGTATTTCTATAATATAAACCTGTTTTCCTGAAAAAAAAAAAGTTGGGTCTGCTTCAGCTATAGGTTTTAATCAAACACATAGAATGACAAAATGTTACATTATTAATACAGATACTGTAAAACATTTTCATTGATATTTTAATCTTGAATTCACCTGAATTTTAACGCTCCTGTAAAAAAACAAACTTACATCTGTGCTAGAGGGACGTCTCCTGACACTCCTGCGCCTCCATGAACCTGGATGGCACAGTCCACCACCTTACAGACCATCCTGGCTGCTGCCACCTTGATCATTGCGATCTAGAACAGAGACAGAGAAAATGACACTACACAACTAATCTGATTTTACATACAGACTCTTCTTTTTGAATCAATTTGACTGTATGATCTGGTTTAACTGTAAAGTGCCTTGAGATGATTTGTGTTGTGAATTGGCGCTATATAAATAAATTGAATTGAATTCTAAATTAGAAAACCAGTTGAAAATATAGGAAACAAAGCATGGACATAACCACTACTATATTGCTGTGCCATCCAACATCTACGCAATCCTTTTCTAGCGTTACCTGTTTGCGAGCAGCTCTGCTGCCTGTAGTATCCAAGGCATGAGCAGCAGAGAGGGTTAGCAAGCGGGTCTGCTCAATCATCAGACGACACTCTGCAATCCAGTGGGCGATAACCTCCTTAAAACATCAGAAAAACTGGATCATTTAATCTGTTTCTTTGAGCGGACAGTAGAAGTAAAGGCTCCGATTCCCTCACATGCTGGTAAAGGTTTTTCCCAAAGGCTCTCCGGGAAGCAGCGCGCTGACACAGCAGTTCCAGCGCCTGCTCGGCCAAGCCAACGGCTCGCATACAGTGGTGCAGCCTGCCTGGTCCCAGACGCCTCTGAGCGATCTCAAACCCTCTGCCCTCACCTGGAGGGAAACATATGAGGAATAAGATCACGTTCACAGGGGAAGGAAGCTACTATAATGACTATAATGATCTCACTTTTTCAGTTTTAATAGCGGAAATAAAGCAAATCAGTTTCTCAGACCTGAGACAGTGTCCCTCCTGTTTATTATTAAAAGGGACAGAGAAATGAAGCTTCTTACCCAGGATCATGTTGGACACCGGAACACGCACATTTTGAAAGTGCACCTCAAAGTGGCCACCATGGATGGCATCTAGAAAGAAACAAAAGAGAATCAATAAACAGCCAGATTTAGGTTGCCAATAGGGGAGGAACACAGGAAGCAGATTTAGTAGGAAAGGACCTACCATCAGATCCGAACACTGTGAGCGGCCGGATGAGCTTTACACCGGGTGTGTCCATGGGTACAAGAATCATGCTGTGCTGAACATGCCTAAGAAACAAAAGTAAAGTAATAATATTTGCCCAAAATAAATGAGTTGATCAATCAGAATATAGTCAGTGTTGCAGCCATTACTGCTGGTGACTAAGTGAATCCGTTGTCAGCCAGAAAACGGAGGGCGTGTGTCAGAAACTTGGAAGTATATTTAATGTCTTGGGTGTGACTTAATGGATTTTGGTTCCATTAATACTTGTAGAGACAGGAGAGATTAAATCCATGAGGGCTGTTTTACCTGCATGTTTCTATGACAGAAGCATGCAGGTAAACACAGGAGTTTGTTGTTAAAATGTGACTGTTTAAAAAGGAGTAAACGGTCACCAGGCAAAGTTTATTTCAGCTATAACAACATTGGAGGATGTTTTGGTCTCTATGGGGAAATGATATACAAACAAGCTAGTATTATTTCACAATATATTGAAAAATGTGGTACAGGAGGCCATGTTTATTTTACTTTTTGTCTCTTTTAATTCTGTGCTTCTGCCACTGCAAAACATTGAAATTTAAATAAGTCCTTTTTAGTTTTAATAAGTGCTTTTTATCTTGAATTGAGGAGGTAAATGAGACACTTTGCAATGGAACAAGACGAGTTACATTTAAAATAAGAAAAAACAATTGCATTGTCTTATTTCAAGTGCATATTATCCGATTATCTTATTTTAGGAGAAAAAAATACTAATTCCATTAGCAAATCATCTTATTTACCTGCTGAAATTAAGGTTAAATACACTTAATTTAAGAAATTGGTACTTATTTCTAGATCATTTTCAATAAAAAAAGACACTTCTGGTGCTACTTAACCCATTCTTTGAAAGTACGCCATGTTTAGCTGTGTCTCTTCCCTGAATGGAGCTCTTCGTTTATTGCATTGAAAGTATTCTTTATTCATAATTTCTGTGTTTTTCCTCTCTTTTTTTTTTTTGCTCACCCCAGATTGTAGCTAGGAGCCCAACATCCAGAGACAGGCTCTGCTGCTCAATTCGTTGACTTTCTTGGATAGAGAGGTTTGCTTTTTATTTAGACGTGGGTTGGACTATATGAATGTGATTAGGTAGGATTAAATGGAATTTGTATCATTTCTTAAAACTCAACTGGACCTGCTTGCCTTGAGTTAGTCCCTGACATAAGGACGCTGAATTTATCAGATTTATTTGTACTGTTACAAATTAAAATCTGCCATATAAGCAAACTGATCATGAAGGAAGGGGTCACATCACCACTGACCTGTTTGGATGAACATCAGAGCTGCTTCTGCACATCACAATGGCAACTTTACATTTGGCACTGCCTGCACCTGAGAACCAAAAGCACAAATCCTGTATTTATGTTCAGCTGCAACACAGTGGTGAATCTAATTAAGATTCCACCCCCCGGTTCTGTCAACCGCTGCATGACCTGAATATACCAGGAAACAGAGCCTGTTATTCCCTGGGAAGTGCTGATGTTGAATTGGCGCTCGAGAGAGATTAACGGGCCGACAGCGGGAAAAGCCACAGGTTGATTTACATTTCCGCAGTTGGATTCTTTCAGGCTTTTAGCTGGTTATTGGAAACAGACCATGTTT